AAGGACCACACTGAAGTCATACCAGACATACATGATAACTGATCTGGTTTTAATAGACCTCCAAAGAAGACGATTCTTTGGCCTCTTCCCTAAGGAGACCTTGTCAGCATTTAAAAACTCACAGTAAATTCTTTCTTTGCCGAAATAGAATTTGTATTGTATTGTATGTGGGTTAAAAAAAAGCCCTTTATTTTTCTAAAGCAGAGTGATAGAGTGGAAAGCATCACGAATTGCTCCACAACTTTCTTCACTACAGGCTAATTTTTCAGTCCTTGAATCTTAACTTGGAAACTTGTTTCCAAAAAATTCTAAAAAATGTGTTTTGAAATTCGGGGAGATTGCAGTTTTATAAAGTAAGCAAAAAATAACAGTACTTGAAAACATTGACCCATATATTTTATGTTGCTATACAACAATTATGTTACCAAATTCTCATTCTAGGTTGCAGATTCATAATTGAGGTTTACACTATGGTGACAAAGACAAAATGCAGTAATGAGACTGTCATTTTGATTGTTACAGCCAAGGATTTGGCCACGATTATTAGGCTTAATTGAATGACAAGATTTGCTTCCCTGGTGCAAACTCTCTGCGTGGTGATCTTCACTTTGAGTAGGCCACTGACTTATACCTAAGTGATTTGCTGCACCGTTTTAAGAAAGGGAACATTTTAGGCCATGGATTGTTTTTAAAAACAGTACACTTTATTAGCTCTTGGCTAATAGAGTGTTGGACCAACTGACTTCTGGCAGCTTTGCATATTGACTCGACTGACATATGTACAATTTCAGACTTGAAGCCACACATGAAGTAATTGTGAAGCCTTACAATTCATCCCTAAAAATCTGCCATGCTGTGGTTCTTGTCTTCTCCAACAGTGTAATCCCTAGGAATTGTGATGATACGAGCTTTTAAAAAAATCAATTAATCTTCATTCACTTAGGACATATTAATTTACATTTGATGAGGTAGAATGTGTTGAAAAAGCCCAGAACATTGAAAGAAAGAATGAAATGACTACTGTAATATAGTTTGGTTCAGGGATTTTTTTCTCTCTTCTTTTTATACAGTTACTTATGGCATATGATATTAAGAAAAGGAAAGAAAATCCCAAAGCAGAGTTTCCAGAGCAGGGTCTAGAGAAGCCCCATAGATTTACTTCAGCTGTGCAGTTTATAGGTGATGAAACAGGCCTACAAAGAGCTTTGGCATCTTGTCTAGTGTTCCATGGTTAGTCAGTGACTTACTTAATCATGGCTTTGTGTCATTTTGTCTTTCTTATGATTCAGCTTTGTGAAAAATGCCGCTTCCTTATGAGGTGGTCCTAGCCTATATTAGTTAAAGAATTAGCCCCTTCCTGGCACCTAGTCACTCTGTCTCGTTATTCTGTTTTGTTTTATTCATATCATTTTTTAGTTTCTGAAGTCACATTCTGATTTGTGATTCTGTGGTTTGTCTCTCTAAAGTACAAGCTCCACGAAGGCAGGGACTTTGGCTCTTGTTCACTATTATATCTAAAATAATGTTTAGGACATATAAGTCCTTGGTGCAAATTTGTAGACTGACTGGACCAGAGCTAAAGCAGAAAAGAACTCCAGTTTCTTAGGCATCTATTATGCTGGGTGCTGTGCTAAGTTGTTTATGTGTGTTACACAAACTAAGAGGTAAATGATGTGCTTAGACCTTTGCAGTTAGAAAGTGGGGAAACTAGAACTGAAAGCCAGGGTTATTTTGCTTTAAGTCCTGACATCACAAGAAATGATTTCCAGTGTTCAATGGTTCCTACTCCACCGCTCCCTCCCATGACCTCTTCTCAGGCATCTAAAGTTCCCAGTACACCAAGTATGTGTTTGGCATCTCCTGTTGGCTCACATCTATCTGGGCCACTGTAGTTTTCAGAGAAATAAACCTGAATATATTATATTCAACACAGTAAATAATCTATGTTGCTGACTTCTCTGTATAAAGTATACTAAGTAAATTTCTCATAGATGTTATAGCTTTATTTCAATTCAATGATGAATTCCATTGAGTTGCACAAATTTGTCATGAAAAGCCTATAGGAGAAAGAAATCGACCTATCTGTTGATTATTGAAACCTGACGCAATCAAAGATGATAAAAAGTTCAGATGAGATGGGCCAAAAGATGAAAAAAGCCTGGGGGTATCAACAAAACAGGAAATAATCCTGAAATAGTGTTGATTCTGACCACAGGGTAATCCACAAATTTGAGTTGGGGAAAATAAAATTTTTCACCTCTATCAGAACTTTTTACCTTCTTCAGATTAGGTCATATTGGATATAACAATCTCCATTTGGTCCCAGATTATAGAACTGTCAAACTTTAGTGCATACTAGAATCATCTAGAGAATTTATTAACAAACGGGCACAGGGACCTACTTTAATTATAAAGAGATTCTGTGCCAAGCACAGAGTGAGAGCTTAATTGATGGTGACCATTAGCATTGCTAGTTACTTCACTCTTCCCAAGAGGGCAGGTGTGGCCCTGACCTATTCATTCACAGATTGGCAAGAAAAAGAAAAAACATGCACAAAACTTGGAATTTGAAAACCTGTGTTTGGAGATCAGCACTGTTAATTTCTAGGTGTGTGACTTTGAATGAGTAACTTCATGTCTTGGAGCTTCAGTTTACTTGTCTTAAATCATCATAGTCAATAATGTTTATTTAGAAGGCCATTGTAAGAACTGGATGAAGGAATGCAGATGAAAGAATCCAACAACAAAAGGTCAGTAGGCAGTGGTTTAAAATGTGGACTTTCTCTGTTATGATTAAAACAGATCACTTACTTCCAAATCCCAGCCCTGTCAGCCGTCATTACCTGTGTAATGTAGGCAAGTAAACCTCACTAGCTTTGGTTTTCTCATATAGAAAATAGACCAAAAAAAAATTATTTATATCAACTCTCAAGCTTTACAAGAACCCTGCTGTTATGAGCTCTATTTTGTTGCAAGGGAACTGAGGCACAGAGGAGTTGAGCAACCAACCCAGATTCACACAGATGCCAATCTGGTTTGTGTCTCCAGGAACTCTGGTTTCAGAGCCTCTATGCCTTACCAATGAGCCTCTTGCTCCCATAAGCACATGAGACATGATTAGGAAGGGCCCAGCACACAACAAATGCTCAGTAAATATTTCCTAATATTTGGATAATTTACTTTCACATTCCAGTCTTGTTTCTTTCTATTTTGTTATTCAGTACACCACACAGCTCCGACACTCAGCGTTCAACCTTATGCAACTATTGCCCGTGAACACAAAAGTACACTTGGGCTGCCTAAAAACTACAGACATGTTTATACGAGAAGGGGAGCATCGTGGCACATTTGGTTTTTATTGCTTTCAGCACATTAGGCATGTAATATTTATTTATTAGGTAAAGGTGAAAAGTAACAGATCACCTTAGAATAAAAGTACAGATGAGTTGCTTGAGAAAGGGCTAAATAGAAAATTGGCTGTTATAAATTTACAATAACTAAAATCCCTTTTCACCTAGAGCCTTTCTTGGAAGTAGCTTATGTATGTGCTGACAATGACTGACATATTGGGAATGAAACCCATCTTAACAGTACAGGATGTGGAAGTGTATGCCAAAATTACTTAAAGAGAAGAAAGGAAGTCAGATGTCAAGTACAGTTAAGGGCAATTATTCTTTATTTTGGAGGAGCTTTCCAGTGAGCTGAGGGAACACAACCCAGGCTGAGGGTGTGGGATCTTATTCAAATCATGAATCAGAACACATTGAGAGATACATAGTCTGATGACAAGACAGAGTGTAAGGACTCATGACATATGCTTCTTGCAACCATAGAACTCATGATGAGGGACCTGCTGCAAAATGGATATTCAGGTTTCTGGTAACAAAGGCTGATCAAAACAAAACGATTCCATTCAAATTTGTTATATTTCTTTTCACTATTTCCCAGTCATTACACACAATTTGATTTGAAATACTTATAAAAGAAATGTACCCCAGTACAATGCAACATTTAAGAAATTATGCATTCCATTTATAGAATTACTATTAATGCAAACTCATAGTTTTGCCAACACAATTTAGATATTTCTGCCTCCATATTGCAATGATTGCATTATCCCCCCATGGCTAAGTGGAGTGGTAAGCACATTTGTTTAATAATAAAGTAGATAGTAAATAAATCAACACCCTTAATGAAAACTAAATTGAGCACAGGATTTATGCCACTATGAGGAAATCTCCACAAAACAATATTCACTTTAATGCTTTCTTTTTCCTCAACTAAAATCCTACAGTGTATCAAAATGAGGACAGCACCTTCAATGTGAATTATGTAGGAACGGACACGATGACAATTCTGTTTTTCAGAGTAGGCTACAGAGCCACTTCTGCTTGTCCCCACGAGTGTCAGGGTTGGCCTCACACTCCTCTTGATTATGGATCTATAGCTTTGAAGGAGCAAAATTGGCAAGTAAGGGCTTTTCAAATCTAACCCTTCCTAAGCAAAGCCGATTCTGACGACTTTCACTTTCCCTCTCTTGTTCAGCAGAAGCAACCCCCAGAGGAGTTGTGTTATTGACTAAGCCCCAGTCCGTAAATACCCCTGAACATCATCAAAAAACAGAGAGAGAGAGAGAGAGAGGGAGAGAGAAACACCAACATGAGCCAAAGGACGCCTTTCTAAGGAAGAAAAAGCCTGAAGACGTTCACTTCAATGGAGAGAGGGCTGTTTACTTACATTGCTCGCAAGACCTTCCAACAGCTGGAGTCTTTGAACTCTAGTGTGCGCAGATGTGGAGCTTTTGCTCAAAATCCCATTCCCCTTTGGCAGCGAGGAGTATTCATAACTCTTTGGGGCTTCAGATTGATAAGTAATTTCCTGATTCGCTTTCAAAAGCGTTCTCCCAGGCTTTGAGCAGTGGCAGAGAGAGGGAGCGGGCAAGGACCCCAGCGAGCAATGACGCTGTGGCCTACACAGACCTCCTGATTGTTTGATCGAGCCCGAAAGAAGACGTCGATGTTACAAACAAAAATAAATAACTTCCTTTATCTGTTGGCTCACTCCCCAAATTGTATTTGGGAAATAGCACAGTGAGTATAGACAATATTTTTTCTAAAATATAATATTAGCTGAACACCTTCTCATTTTTGTGCTGGGAAAAATCAGGGCACCTCTGACTGGTCTTCAAAGACCAGCTGTTGCAATTTCTTTCTTATCAGCCATTTTAAAAGATATTCTTAGAAACCATGCAGCCCAGCCCCTTTGGTTGACAGTCAAAAGAAATGATACCCAGGGCTTGCAAGACTTGACCAGGATCACATAGCTGGTTAGTGGAAGGACAGGAACCTAAGAGCTGACTGTCAAGCCAATGCTCTGTCCACTGTAGGGAGGTGGAGGCAGGTGCAAGGGTTGGAGGTCTGACTCTTGATCTTTAAGATACCTCTCACTGGATATGGCCCTTAATGTTTCTGACTTCTGGTTTTCACAGCTGCAGAATAAAATCGTTAATAGTGGCCCTTGCTTGGTCATACAATGTGGTCATCTCTGTGAAAGAGTTTTGTCCATGATGAAAGCAATTGTATCTTATGATGAAATTTTGTTGACATAGTCCAATTTACATGCTTCTTTTCTCTCTTCCATTCTCATTTTCCATTCAATGTTATTTTCTTACTGAAAGAAATCATTGAGTGACTTTTGGATGGAGAAGGAGGAGGATAGAGGCCAGGAAATCAGATAGAACATAGAGAAAACTTTTACCTTGGAAATCCAGGTTAAGATTAGATGAAAGGGTATACAGCATATCTTAACATTTGCCTCAGAAAGAACACTAGGTCTAGAAATACAAAGTAAAGCTTGGCCACTGCCTCAAACACTTAACAGCCAAAAGGAGCCCTGTGGAGTCCTTTAAACATTTCAAAACACAGTTGACTCACTGGGTATGTGATCCCTGTCGCATTGCACTTATCTCATTTTGTTGTGGTTAGAATCAAATGAGGTGTTTATCAAGATAGTACTTTGCAATGCTTCATGCTTTGAAACTGGAAAGTAGTTGCTATGGTTTGAAGGTATGCATCCCCCCACAAATTCATATGTTGGAACTTAAGATCCAATGTGATAATATTAAGAGGTGGAGGAGCCTTTAGGAGGTCATTAGGTCACAATGACAGGGCTCTTATGTGGGATTAGTGAGCTTGTACAAGGGCTGGAAGGAGCTAGCTAAGCCCTTTTTGCCCTGTATCCTCCTGTCACATGTGGACATAGCATTTGTCCCTCTGCAGGATGTAGCAGCAAGGTGCCATCTTGGAAGCAGAGACAGAGTCCTCACCAGACCCTAAACCTGTTGGCACCTTGATCTTGGATGTCCCAGCCTCCAGAACTGTCAGAAATAAATTTCTGTTGCTTGTAAATTAGTCAGTGGCAATCTGTTATAGTGGTACTAATGGGCTGAGACAGTGGTATTTTCCAGTGGGATGTGCAACTACCATTGCCCATTTCACCTATATCATTGGCTGAGACCACTTGATGCCAGGACTCCTGGGTTCTAACTTGACCTTTTCCCCTTTTTTTCTTTTTGAGGAGTGTATTTCGTCTTTCTTCCCTTGTCATTCAACTCTTGGTACTTGTCTCTCACGCTTGCCACTATTGGTTTTCTTTCTTAAGGTTCAAACTGTCCCTCCATTTCTCGTGTAATGGTAAGAATGAAGAACAAAGAGAAAACATTTTGTTCAGTCACATAGAAAGGCATCTAAGGTGCCTTGACACAAATGGGATGTCTTTATTTTTGAAGTAGCCATGAACAAAGATCAAATAAATCAAGATCAGCACCCCCTTGAAAATGATCAAGTCATGAGTCCAACTTACATTTTATGGTTCCATTCACTTCTTTTACCTTTTACAAATTTATTATCTAAATGTTATTCAGTTAAGATTTGCACTCTATCATCTGTAAGAAAAATTTTCTAATTGAGTCTTGCTTGCGATACCATGACAAAATACCATAGACTGGGTGGCAAAACAACAGAAATTGATTTTCTCACATTTCTGGAGTCTGGAAGTCTGAGATCTGGGTGCCAGCATGGTTGGATTGTGGTGAGGCTTCTCTTCTTGACTTACAGATGGCGGCCTCCCTTCTGGGTTCTTGTATGCTAGACAGAGGGAGATCTTTCTCTTTCTCTTCTTAAGAGACCATAGTCCTATAGAATTATGGACCCATCTTATGATCTCATTTAACTTGAATTAAATTAGCTATGAAAGCCTCTATCTCCTGATAAAGTCATGCTAGGGGTTAAAGCTTCAACATATGAATTTTGGGATGATACAATTCAGTCCATAGCAAGCCTGCAGGAAGTGAAAGAAGGGAGCTAATACTTATTGCACCTTTTTTCCCCTCATTGAATCATCAAAACAGCGTTGATAGGTTGGTAGTGACTTTTCTAAGGTCACAAAGCTAGTAAGTGGCAGTGATCAAATGTAAACCATGATGACCAGAACCCTGCTCCCTTCATGACACATTCTGTCTCCACCTCCTCTTCTCTCCTGGATTTTGAGCTGTGATCCTTTATTTTCCCTTCCCACTCTTCCCTGTTTAGTTGCCTGGAGGCAAGACATTGTTACCCAGAGCACCATGAGAAGGAAGCCATGGGGATTCCTTCCATGTACCTGATGATATTAGACTGACAGCTGTAGAGAGTTTGTCTGGAATGTTCTCTCCCTGCCTACCTCCCAGCCTCCTTCATGTTAATGAGCCTCTTCATTAGTTCAAACTAAATTCACATGCTTCTTCCCTGGGATGCTTTCTTTCATCTGACCCTCACCCACTCTTGCTCCTCCTTGCTATATTCTCTAATACTGTCCTACACTTTCCCTTCATAATTTTTCTCCTTTCATAAGATTTCATAAATGTTGTTTTATTATTGTAGTGGTTATAGCAATAGTTATATGTTTCTAAGATAATTTACATAATGTCTGTCTCCCTCACCGGTCTGTAAGCTCCCTGAAGTCAGGGATGCTTTGTTTACTAAGATATGTCCAGCCATTAGAACAGTAACATGAGAACCTCCAGAGGAGGAAGGGAGAATTAGACAGTGACAAACTGGGGGAAATAAATAGTAGAAGAAAGGCCCTGTAAAATTCACCTGCAGCAGTGTGACTAGTAAGCATACGCCCAAGAACAGTCTAATGGGGCCCCTTTATTAAGCCTGCTGTGTACCACCAAGTGCATTCCTCCCCTATTTTGCTAGGTTTGGTTAATCAGGAATGAGGTTGTTAATGTGAAATGAGGCAGCTTGAGGAGCAGATCTTGGGTCACATCTGTTGCCTGCTGGTCAAGGCCTGGGCTCCTGCAAGGGCAGCACAGCCTGGCCCTCTGCAGGACGGGCTGCCTGTTCATACCCCATCAGCCTCAGTCTCTTCTTAGAAAGAGCTGATGGGACAGAGGTGTGAAGACGTACAGGAACCAGGAGGAATTCCTACCAGGGAAAGACATTTTCCGTTAAAGGAACCACATGTGCACAGAAACGAAATGACAGTGTGTCGTGTTTAGGGAACCTCAAGAAGCCTAGTTTTATTGGTGAGTTACAAGAAAATGTGATAGTAGAAACGAAAGTATCAGATAAATCTTAAGTGTTTCCATTATTATCTATTTCTCAAATTTGTTTGGAGGGCCAATGAGAGCGTACATGTGGAATTGTTTTATAAACTGGAAAAAATCCTATGGAAATATTTTTATTACAAATTCTTTTGGATAAAGATAACTAGAATATTAGGCTAAGAAACCATGCTGGGAAATGGAATTATTTATAAATTTATTTATAAACTGAAAGTTTTGATTAATTTCCTTCTTCTAATCTCCTTTCAAAGACTAGAATGTAAGTTTATAGTATCTATTGAATATGAGTGAGCTGAGATGCATATTTTCAGCTCAGCACCATCCCTGGCCATTTCTACTCTCTCTCTGAGGGAACAGGGACTGGAAGCCTGGAACTACATTTCCCAGAACCACTTGTAGGCAGAGTCCCTGGTTAGAGCCAGCCAAGGAGGGCACACACAAGTCTGCAGTCTGCCTAAATATTGTATTATAGTATGGTATATAGTAATACAGGGTTGTGAAAGATAGAAAATAATTAGAGGACATTATTCTTTGGTGTCAGTTGCAGAGCGGGAACAGCCAGCTGATGTGAGGTTTGCAGGAAATTCTGGATGTGATCGTAGAATCTCACACTTTTGTGTGGCTTCCCAGCAATCTTGTTCTCTGGGTTTACAGTCAAACAGAGTGCTTTTTTCCTCTAATTGTTGGTCACATGAATCCCTTTTAAACAATTATTTTTTATTTAGAAATATTTATGGACTCATAAGAAGCTACAAAAAATTTACACAAATGCCCTAGCTTCTTCAATGGTGACATCTTATATCAATATAATAATCATAAAATCAAAAAAATTGACATTAGTACAATAGTATTAGGCAGACTACAGACCTTAGTTTTTACAGTTTTTGTGTAGATTCATTTGTGTGTTGCATAATTCAGTATAGTTGAATGCAATTTGAACTCATGTGTAGATTCTCTACAGTTCTTTCAATGGCTCTTAAGGACTTTGATTTCTTGTCTGAAGTCTCTAACCAATGCTATTTTCTTAACTGAATGCTGATTGAGGTGCTTAATAGTTTCTTGGTGTTATCACACGTGTGAAGCCTTGCAGTCAAATTTTGGTGCTTACCTTTCATTATGTTCATCCATGTATTCAACTAAAATATTACTCACTGAGAGTACTTCACATGTCCTTCTTTCCCATTGTTTTCATCACAGGATGACCAAGGCATTCTCCGTGTATCATCATATTATATGTAAGTGATCAAAAGAGATTTTTAGCTATTTGTTGGACTTTTAATTGCTCAGTTTTCAAAGTCATCCTTAAGATAGTAGATTAAAAATGCAAAACTATTTTAATCATTCTTAAATAATGGTAAAATAATTTATATATGGTAAGACAGGAAACAAACAATAACAGGTATAGCTAATGGATAGGAGGAGGCCAAGCTATCATTTTTGAAGATAATAAAACTGTACACCTAAACAGTGCAGCAAATTTAATAAGGGCCATTAGAAATAATATTTATTGAACAGAGTTAATAGATACAAAAAATACATACATGAAAGTAGCCTTTCTATATATCAAAATAATCAGAAAACAGAATGTTTAAAAACCCTCTAGAATCTAAAATGATGCTGGTTTCCCTGCAGAGGAAGGAGAGACTGGCCTCTCCCTAACTCTGGGCTGTTTTCTCACTTGAGACTTAATCAGTACAACTTGTGTGCAGAGACTCTCAAAATTTTGCTAACATATTTTTTTTTCTTTTCTCATCCTTACCTCTGACTCATTAACCACAAGTGATCAAAATCTGGTTTGAAGAAGCTGAGGGAAATAAACTCTATGACATGTCCTGTGTCCCTTCCTAATTAAGACATATTTCCTCTCAAAATATTCTAGCCTGCAGAGATGGTCCCTGGCTGTAACTTAATTTTTTTAACATTTTCCACAAGGCAGTGAAACAACTTGCCCTCACATATTTCAGAATATGATCTTTGCTTTACATTCACCGTTTGGCTGGCTTTTGCAGAATAAATGAACCATCTGCCCTAAAGAACTATGCAAGTCTTCGCCACTTGCAACCAGTGGGACTAAGAAGTTTCCTGGCTAACATTTGTTAGGTGCTAGCAAAGTTCATTGATTCTTCTGGGCATTATCTTAATTAATCTTTACCACTATACAGGTAGAAAATTAAAGTCACTTAAACAAAATCTCAAGGCTACCAAAAGGTAGAACCAAGTTAAGTGCCAGATGGTAAGGCTGCAAGTTCTTTCTCTGCTTTTCTTGTAGGTGACAATAATTTTCTTTCCAACAGGGTTTCAAAAACAAGATCTGGGAATCAGCCTGGTCCCTGTGATACTGATACACATACATCCTAGTGAGCTGCATTGGCTGCATCAGCTCAGTGTGTCTAATTTTAAAAGTCAACCTGTAGAAAAATGCCAGATAAATAAATGGTGCTGGTAGTACTAGGTAATGATGAAAATTGTATAAGCGATATATGAGTGCTGAAAATGTAGTGGTAGTCCCAAGCATAAGACTGCCACTTGTTGCTGGAAACCTTGTCATGAAAGAGTATTTGGATTTAGTTCCTAAGTGGAGTTAATTCTTTAGAACTTTAGCACCTAATGGGGGCAACAAAATTCACAGCACTCTCAAAAGTATAATTTAGAAGACTATTTTCCTGAATAATAGTTCTCCTTTGAAGACTACTGGAAATTGCCTTCTTTCTAATTTTAAGATTTTGATTGAAAACATTCAAATGCAGGTCTAGCTTCAAAGCATAGCTTGAAACCCAGAAGCACCTCCTGATTTGTATTGCTTAATTAATTGATTCAAAAGAAGAAAGAGGTTCCAAATCCCAGTAATTTTCATTGTGGATAAATAGATGCATTCCCTATATACCGTAAATAGTTGAACCAAAATATCCCTCAAAAGAGCCTAGTCTCAACCCCTTTGACTTCCCAGTCTCTTAATTTAACAGTCATCACTCTCTTTTCCCCTCAATTTTTCCATTCCTCATGTTCATCAGCATGACCATGCTGTCTCAGCCAACCCACAGGAATCACACATGCACTTCCTGTCTTAACAGTGAAGCTCTCACTTAGTTGGTAGATTATTCAGGATAACGATATTTACAGAGGCTGCCTTGTTTTAGTTCAGGAACACATAACTGCTCCTTTGGAGATTGCAAACAACGTCTATGTCACATGTTATTTGAAAGGTAAATATGCAGCCATGAAATAAAATTTAAGAAAGAGAAGAAAATAGAGGAAGGGAAAAAAGTAAGGCAAAAGAAAAAGGGAGAAAGACAGTGAAAGAAAAAGAAAAGGCAGAGGAGGGAGGCAAAGCAAAGGGTTAGATGCTGTAACTGCAAGTGACCGCAGACTTGGGCTGTGCTTTCCTTTTTTGCAGGGGACTATTCACAGTTTTTCATGTGCCATACCATGCCCGTCTTCCATGATACAGCAACAGTAAACTGACTTAACATGCCCTCAACTGTAGCTAGAGTTTACACTTACGAGTGCCATTTTTGGATAGGGTAACCAACCATCCTAATTTTCCTGGGACCGAGATGTGGGGCTTTCGATTTTAAAACTGGGATAGTTCAGTCTAAAACTGAGGAATTTTCCACAGCATAGGATTTTCAGTGCTAAAACCAGAAAAGTCCCAGGCAAATCAGGAAAAGCTGTTCATCTTATCTTTGAATGAGACAGTAAATTGTGTCTCTTACATTTTTTGAGCATTGCACAGGAAACTCTCCAGCTGTTAGCCCATCTTCCATGTGCTGGGATCTGTGTTACATTGTGCATATTGTAGGGGACATCATTTTATTCTGCTTGCTCAGCAGCCCAGGAATCTTTGGGTAACTCCTTTCCTATCTTATATGTTTCCAGTTGGGCTGTCATGCATAGTGCCCTTCACTCCTGCTGCCTCCCACTGAGGTAAGCAAGTCAGCCAGGGTAGGCTAAGCAAAACAGACTATTATTATCTCTGACACCTACAGCAACAGTGATTAGTTGAGTGGTGAGTATGGAACCCAAGGAAGGCAGCCCTTGGGACAGAGAAGTCCCTTTGCTCTTAGTGAAGACTATTACTGGTCATCTTCTTCACCATGTATGACAAATTCCACAGGTACAGAATGAAGTCAGAGGGAGAGGGAGAGAAAAAAATACTTGGAGCATCTTTTGGGCCCCTGGATCCCACCACATAAGAAGCTAACACCATTCCTAGATTGCCCAATTTCATGAGCTAATGCATTCCCTCTTTTCTTAAGCTGGAATGAGATGGGTGCTTGTCATGTGCAACCAAAAGAGTTGTGACTAATAGACAAATATGAGCTCTTTTATTCGGGAGTCAGTCCTGAGAGACGGGTCTAAGTTGAACCACATGAAATCACTGATATTCAACTTCTTTTGACTGCAAATGCGCAAATTCTGTTTGGTGCAATTTAAATATTATTATGTCTGCTGCATAGATGAGGAAAACACTTAGTGGTGATAAATAATATGTCCAAAGTTGCACATTTGTTAAGACAGTAGACCTGGGAACCAAACCCAGGTCTTTTTGATTCTAAGGTACACAAGTGTATTTCCAGTAGTTTATGCGGCCTGAAAAGAGATCTCTTAAGAGCCATCCCTTGCTATTTGACAAAGTCCTTGAAATATACTAGATTTTGATTCACACTTTTATGTATGAACTTATATATGGTGTCAAACACCTGCTTGTTTGCTTGTAAAATCCTCGTTTCACTGGATATTTCATGAAGAGAAGTCAGACACACCAGTGTGCAAAGAAAGGAAAAACCCTGTTCAACTCTGACACGTATTTTCATTTTGCCTCGGATGAACCCCTAGGTGATGATATGTCAGCTTTTCAAAAGTAATCTAGCTTTGGTTTTCACTGACAATCAAGAGGTGCTATTCTTGAATCAAAATAAAGAGATTGTTTGCCCATGCTATTCTCTGTTCAGAGAGACTTTTCATATACCTCAAGCCCAACATATTTATAATTTACCTGTGACAATGAGAGAAGGATTCTGGGTACTTTCTTTTGTCATGATTATTCCATGTGCTTGCCCAGTGATGCAATGGAATGATGCTTTCCCAGGGAATATATTTTTTTCTCCATGGTGGTGTTCCATACATACTTTCAAAGTGGCAGAACATGTATACAACATATGGAAAGTTTATCTGGCATTTCTTTAGCATTTATTATATGTGAAGTTATTACAATTCAGGATTGTCTGTTTATTTTAATTAATGCTAGAGAAACAATGGGTCTTATTGGAGCATGGATAATATTCTATGGCAAATGTTTTTGGCATTATCTGCTGAGCATCTCTCTTCCATAAATTTCCTTCCCCCATCTACATGGTGGCAGGCTGTAGTCATCAGATAATGCTGTTATTAATACTGCTGCATAACACCTCAGTGGCTTATAACAACAAACATTTATTTTTTTTCTTACTCATTAAAGCTATGAAACTTGCCCAAGTTCACACAGCTGGTAAATGATGAAGCTGAGATTCATTCATTCAGCAGACATCATTCAGCTCCTCCTAAGTGCCATGTACAATGAAGAGGCTGATAAATCACCAAGCCAAAGACTATTTATGTCTTACCTGATGATGCTGAAAGTGAAAACAATGTCATTACAGCTCTAGAGAGTCAACCAAAAAGACGGAACGTGACACAGAAAAGGTTTGACAGGATCTGACAAGTCAGGGGTGTGATGGTTTAGAGGATACAGATAACACTGGCCAGAATGGTAGCCATAGTGGGATCATAACAAGATTAATTAGACAATGTGAATATAAAAGCATTCCTAGTAGGAGCTGACATTGCATCTCTAATTTCAAGAGAGGAGAGAAAGGGAAGGAAACATTTGAAGCCATTTTTTAAGTGTCTGCTCTGAACTGGGTATTATCACATGAGGAAAACCCACATAGCAATGTTCAGAGAGACAAGTGCATCTCATTTCACATTTTACATCTTTCTGGATGTCACTTTCTATATGTTTAATGCAATGATAGTGATATTTCTTTCTTCGTATTGTCTTAGTTTATGCCTAACACACTGCAGGTTCTCAATAAATGGTAGTTTTCTTAAGAGAATCTGTTAGTTGTTTCCAATGTTAACTTTGCCATTATTGCTTGTAACAGAAGCCTCATTTGTCTGGGGATGCAATGTGGCCAGGAAAATGCCCAACTTCCCAGAAGCCTTTGTGGCTAGTCAAGGCTGTGACCCACTGAGTTGGGACAGTAATAAGTAAGCAGAGGTTTTTGGAAGAGATTGCTGGGAAAGCTTCATAAAGGAGAAAGGCTTAGGTGTTTTCGCATATTCAGATTTCGTTTTATGTAGTTTGCCATTGATTCAGAATGCAGTCATGGCATTGAGATAGAGTAAATGTCCTGTGATCCCAATAGCTGCATTCTGTACATACCAGGTTGGAGGAACAGAAGGGTAGAATAAACCTGGGTCTCTTATGACCGTGAAGCTTTTGGTCTACTTGAATAAAAAATAAAAATTAAATGTGTCTTTAAAAAAAAAATACCAACCATCCAACGCACAATAATTGCAGGCTATGGAAAGAGCTCCACCTGGCTGAATGACTGAGCTCAGCTTGATCTTGCCAACCACATTAAAACTAGACAAAGCAGCAAAATCAAAGCTTAAAATAAAAATAAAAATAAAATACCATCAAGGGAAGACATGTAACCAAATAATTAATGAGGCATATTATAAGGTTTTCATTATTTAATCTTATAATGTTAGCAATGAAGTTTGGTAGAAAAAAAGGTACAGAATTTCAAGGCAGGGAACTCAGGTTCAAATTCTTACTGAACCTTTTATCAGGGGAGTGAATTTAGGCCAGTCTTTTTATCTTTCCAGGTTTGAATTGTCCACACTGCAAAATCATGATGATAATGACGATGATACTTAATAGGGTTGACATGAAGAGTACTCAAGGGAATGTATGTGAAAGTGCTTTATAAACAATAAACGGTTAGGCAAGGTTTTGTTGCTATTGAAAACTGAAAAGATAGTCAAGTATGAAATAGCCAAGCTTGTCCAGTTACCATCTGGCACCGATGTGTGGTCTAGAGACCTGAAACTGAGGTGCTGAAGGATATATGGGCTGCAAATGCTCTGTCAATGGCTAGCAGTGAAGGTCTTTCATGGTCATAATCATATGTTTTTTACAAACAGAAGTGCCAACCATTAATGGGGAAGAGGAATAAGGAAGAAAATTCTAATTTTTTTGGTCACTTATTGTGAGTCCTTTGGTGTTTTACATATACGATCTTCTTTCTTTAATTAATTGCAGACACGAAGCTACGTTCAAAAGTGCTCTGAGGATAGAACTTTTACATTTTGTAAGTGGAGTTATACTTCAGGTCAAGTTGCCTATAGTTAACACACAAGGATCAAGAATGCTGACTCAGGTAGGGGAAGTAGGGGATGGACCAGACTTAGGGGAGGGGTCTGAGATCTGAAGTTAGCTGATTAGACCCCACAGATGGATGAATCTTACTTATCAGAGGTTGAAGGCTTAGACTTGCTTATCTAGAGGTAAAGAGGGAAGGGAATTTCTCAGCCATGGAGGACCTCCCAGGTCAGCTGTTTATATGCCACCTCTTAGAAAATAAGAGTGTGGAGATTTTGCTGTGTGGCTGGCACTGTGCTAAGCACTTTAAATTATTAACTCATTAATTTTTGCAAAAGTGTTTTGAGGTATAGGTATTAGGTTTACCCCCATTTTACAGAGAACTGAGGAATAGTGAGCTTAATTGATTGCCCAAAACCACCCAGCTGGATTGGAACTCAGTCAGCCTGGTTTCTGTGCCCTGCACTTCACCACTTCACCACGATGCTCTTTTGCCCCTTGAGAGGAGGAATGCAGCAGAACATATGTCAGACAGATGGGCTGTGGATCTTGAGAACTCAGCTTCTTAAGAAACTCGGAAGAGTTAATGTGTTTTCTTGGTGGAAGAGGGCTGAAGAGCCTCCCAAAGATCCTTTTGGCTTTTCAGGGAATTAAATGTAACCATCTACTCATATATAGCAATGCCTCTCGTTAGTCTAATATGAGATTTAGGGATTTGGGAAGACATCTGGAATTTATTTATGCCATTTGGGTTTGAAATTCAATATTCTTAGAATGAAAGAAACAAAGAAACCAGAGTAGACCATATTTACAAAATCTGACTACACAGCGTATGTGTTTGCAAACTGGGCTTGAATGTCTGGCTGAAATATTGCTCTGACTACAGTGGGTCATTCCTCTCAAAAGGCAAAAACACCTTTCTGGAATCATTTTGACCTCCTGTATATATGGTAATGGCAGAGAGTATATTTCAGGGTTTTTCTTCCCCAGGACAATCTTAAAAGCAATGTAAGCGATTAATGTGTCTATGCTTGAGATTATGGCACAATGATAATTAAAAAAATATCACGTTAACAGTTTCAATTTTTCATTCTGAGCCTGGGGAGATAGTATGGGCTTCAGAGCAACCTTGAACTGTTTTTTCCTTATTATTATCATTCCATTAGTTGCATAATTTTGAATAATCTCCCAAGCCAGTTTCTTAACCTATAGGATGTTTCAAACAGAAGGTGAAAAGCAGCAGTATAAATTTGGGAAGTTTTAGGTAGTTCATGATGGTCAAAGTGGAGTGTGCTTCTGAAGAATATTAGAAGATGAAACCCAAGAGGTGAGCTTTGTAAAGTCTGGTGTCCCAAGCAGGGGTGTGGAGTTTATCCTGAAATTACCAAAAAGTTGTTTTAATTTTAATCCTTTTTAGATACTGAATAGAATTGTTTTTCCTTATATTACAATTGTATATTATTCCTTATATTGCTTTACATTGCTTTTCCTATATTACAAATATAGTAGCTTACCATAGAAAACAATAGATAAGGAAGAGAAAATATTTAAATTGAATCAATCATACAAAGGTTACTATAGGGTCCTCTTAGCCTCTTATAGGTCTTAAATATAAAGCTACCTGACATGACTTGACTGGAGACCAGCTGAGTTTACTTACAGAAGCTATTTCTGGTAGGTAAGTTTGTGAATGACTTTTAGAAGTCATTTGAAGATCCTATAATTGCAAATTCATTTACTTGCTAAAATTTATTTATAAGCCCCCAATAAAACCTCATGGTGCTCTCAATGTCATTTGTGGATGGACATGAACAGAACAACTCAGGTCAAAGATGACAATGTTCTGCCTTCTCCCTTCAGCTCTCACACTGTAAACAAGTGTCCTTTTTGGCAGTATATTTAGTGCTGCTTCCTGCATTTTTGTACTTTTTATTGGTGATTTTTCTATTTAAAATGTCCTCCGAGCATAGAAATGCTGCCTAGTATTTTTAAGTGCAAGAAAGCTATGATGTGCCTTATGAAGAAAACACGTGTGTTAGGTAAGCTTTGTTCAGTCATGAGTTAAGCAATGTTGGCCATGAATTCAATGTTAATGAACCAATAATAAATGTAAAATAAGATGTTGTTAAACATAGGCATGCATAAAACAAGGTTATGTAATGATCAATTGCCAAAAATATGACCAGGAACTCTCATGAACTTAACTCTTTATTTCCCTGGGAGCAATGGTTCAAATTTGCTAATTTAGCATTCATGATGACTTTATAGAATATAGCAACTGTGAATAGTGAGAATTAACTGTATGTGTTTTTAAAAGATTGATGGGTTAGTTCTATCCACAGAACCAGATTCTTAAATACCTGGTCTCCCAACCTAACCCCAAAGCCCTGGCTACTCAGAGCATGGCTGGCTGTCCTAGTGGTAGCCTTTGAAGGCCTTTCATGTGGATAGAACATTGCTGTTACACCTGCCAGACCCTCAACGGATGAAGCCAAATCCAAGAATATTACTAGCCATAAACAGCAGGGATGATGCCACCACTCAGGTCTAACTCTGCCTGGACAGGGTGAGGGGCTGTAACCATGCCCCTCCTCTCTGTCTATAAAGTCTCTCCTTTTCCTTACCATGTCAAAGGAAACTGGGAGTAGGTACTGGGGCTTGCTTTGTTTATCACACACTGTGAAGGTGTGTCTCTGGGCAAAGGGCCATGCTTCAGAAGGGAAAGGAGCCCGCTCCAGCTATATTCCTGGAACTGGAAATCAGACTCACTCCTGACAATATGGGGGGTAGACTGGTCATCAGGAGTTCCCAAGGAGTTGAAAACTCCAGGGGTTTTGGGAGGTTTGATTGACTGACTCTAAGGTCCCTTCAATGCTGAGATTTTAAAGATCTCATAGTCCTGTTTCTTATATTAACATTTCCTTTGAGCACCCTGGTTTTTGAGAGAAAGCCTCCATGGGTTTTAATGCAATTGTGGGGATGTGGCATCACAATCCCTTGGAAGTATTTGGGATTGATACTTTTAGTTAGGGGGAAAGGGGGCTGGGATGCTAAATGTCCTACAATGCCCTAGAGAGTTCTACATAAGGAAGAATTGTGGCACCCAAAACTCAAGTAGCATGAGTAAATTTCTCTTTTATTTCTACCCATTGGATTCCTAGAGAGTCTTTCCACCTCCAGATTTACTCCTAGGGCCAGCAACGTAATGTATAAGCCCAGAACAAAATGAAAATGTGAGATACCTTGTTTGAAAAGCCAGATGCCTTTCCCTTTCTTCTGTGGTCTCTTTCCTGACTTGTCATAGTGTTTTCTATTTGCTGTTTCTTGTAACTCCTTTGGGCACAAGGGTACTGGCTGGTGAGAGCAGACACTCATAGGCATTGGACCCTGCCCTATGATTTGGCTTATAAATGTATGCACCTGACCTTCCTCATGCCTATGCCTAGCCCTCCATTGGGAATAGAGGGTGGCAGTGGCTGCTGGGTAAGAACAAGGGAGCTGTCTGAAAGAGGAAAGGGGAATCCAAACCCCTAATGCATACCCCATTGTCCCACTTTACTTGCAAAACACAAATGCAAAATGCAACTATTGGAAATTTCAAGACAGTGACCAGAGAGCTTCAACGACCATGCCTGAGACTGCTTGTGGGTGCCATAAGCCCATGAATCCTAGTCTGTCCACTCCTAGCTCTATGATTGGAACAAGCGTCATCAATAAGAT